AAGTCTAAATAAAAAATCTAAATGTCCACAACATGTAGATTTCAACCACGTTACATTTTTTAGATATCAGTTAAGTCCTAAAAAGAATAGTCCATCCTAATAAAGTATATATTTTTTATCTTAAAAAATTGCTGATATTTCCATTTGTAACATTAATTGTGTTGCGGAATGAGTGAACATTCCCTGCAGACCAGTCACAATTTCCGTTTGCTCCTTCTTATGATAAAAAGCAACGAAAAAAAAACCGTTGAATGTTAAAATTATATACTAACAATTACTAATAAGAACAACAGTCAGTATTTCACTTACCAGGTAATAATAAATTCTCTTTGCTGACAAGAACATTGTGTCCTCTCAAATAGAATTAAAAATATTACAAAGAAAAATAATATTATCGATTGCTTTGTCAACTGTAATCAGTACATAAAGGTTGGATAATCTATCTTATTCTTTTTCAGTTCTGAATTATTTAACATTGGAAAGAAAAATGTCTTCTAGTGAACAGATCTATTTCCCTAAAGGTTAACGCATGTAGTGATGAGTTATTAGTCAGCATTAATATGAGATACGTATAGACCATTTAACGAAATTTTAAGTCAGGGATCAAACAATTAGCAGTGTTTGTAAAATATGTGGTAAACCAAGTGTTGAGTTTGAAAATGACTTGTTTCTCATTCGAATTTCAATAATTATTTATTCACAACACACTAAAAGGATTTAATATATCTAAGTAAGCAAAGGTATCAAACCTCCTCAAGAATATTTAGTTCATAAGTACTAAAGCATTATATTTAAATAAGACCATATAGAACAAACACATGACATTGATATTAAAGAGTATTAGCTAAGTTAGCAAATAAATGCCTATTAAATAAAGGAGATTAACAACTTGTGCCATACAATGCAATTGTTTTTCAAAGGTACATATATATATATATATATATATATATATATATATATATATATATATATATATATATATATATATATATATATATATATATATATATATATATATATATATATATATATATATATATATATATATATATATATATATATATATATGATCTACACAGAGATATACTAAGGAGAAAAAAAATAAGACCCTGAAGATGCATACGACTAACTTGATCTTGATCTATTGGAGCGATTTTTTTTTTAAATTCCTTTTTGGTGCCAAGTTACATGGCATTTCCTGAATTAAAATGACATTTTGTCCGCGGATAATCTCAATATAGATATCAATGTAAAACTATCAGGGATTATAGATAGTGATTATCACTAACCAGGTCGCTACCTTACGTTTGTCGCCCGGTCGTTGTGAGATGCAAATTGAAAAAAAAATCGTATTTTCTATTTTTTTTTTTGCTTTTTATTTATTTTTGGAATGTTCATAGAGATCCTTCTATTAATGCTTACTATAACAAATGTTTGAATAATGACAAATCTAACTTCTAGATATTAACATTTGAAAATCTGAAGCGGGACCAAGATGGCAGCTGCCTCTGTCAACTCTTCTATTTCGCAAGTCGGGGTTTATGGAGGCAGCCAAGCGTTAGTTTAAACGAAAATGAAATAAAGATAAAAGAACTGTAAAAGGCTACTTTGGTTATCACGTAGTAGTTACGTAACAAGTACATCAAACTAGAATTTAATTGTCCTTTCACTGCTTTAGTCTGACTTGGCTTAACACGATACGTAATGTGTATAATGTGTAAGATATACCCTCTAAAACTCAAAATAATATATATTCGATAAGAACGTAATATTTTTTTTAATTTCATGCAATCACACCTACTAAATAGAAGACTCTAACCATTTTTCAGGTTGATTTTACGGAATTATTTTCCAGAATAGGACGGAAGACCTCTCGTTTATCGCAAAGAGATCGTTTGTTGTCTATCTAATTTTTTTCACCTCTGAAATATTTAACACTTAAAAGGAAAGTGTCTTTTACTGTACAGATCTATTTTCCTAATGGTGCACACATGAAGTCACAAGTTATTGGTCAGCATTAATATAAGATAAGTTTAGCCATTTAACGAAATTCTGAGTCAGCTATCAAACAATTATCAATGTTTAAAATTCTGTGTTAAACCAAGTGTTGAGTTTGAAAATGACTTGTTAACGTCATTCTTATCTAAAAAAAAATTATAAATTCATAACACACTAAAAGGATTTAATACATCTAAGTAAGCAAAGGTCTCAAACTTCCTTAAGAAAATGTAGTTCTCATAAATGTTACAGTCAAAAAACGCCACATAACAAAAAACAAATGACATTGATATTAAATAAGTATTAGCTAATTTAGCAAATAGATGGTATGCTGTTATAGTGATAACGAATTGGTGCCATAAAATGCCATTTGTTCTAAAACCCCATTCAAATATATGTATGATTTATGCAAATATCAACAAAAAAGCAAGACTTTTTTTTACTGCGGATGACCAAGAAGGATGTAGAGATAACGAAAAGCATTCAATCTCAAATTCCACAAAACAATACAAAATAAGAGCAGAGCAAACACGGATCTCCGAAGCAGAGGGATGGGTTCATGTGCCATGGAGGAGTAAGCATCCCCTGCATGGTAACAAACCATTTTTGCATGTTGACTAAGAAGGCAGTATTTGACTTCATTAAGAGAGTTATCAATGGAAGTCGAAATACATATATAGTAGACTTATGGAAAGATATGACGATTATCATTGAAATGAAAGCTAAAACACATTTATTTCAAATTTCTTATGAGCTATCAGATTTATACTAAAACTGGAAAACTGGGAATCTGAAGATTACATTTTTTTTTAGTTGTATAAGATAGTTGCGAATAAGATATAGATATCTTTCTAATTTATAAAATATGTTTCCAATCGCCATTTTTCATTATATTGAAATCGCCCTAATTTCAACCTTCTAATGAAACCACTTTTAGCCCCACAGTACAATTACAATTTTTGTTACATGAACATGTCAAAAAACAATCCCTCATTTTTCTAATAAAATAATAATAAAAATGACTCAAGTGACCTTAGCCTTTTTTTGTCTTTTACATTAAACAAGTGTCAGATCAAAAGAAAAAAAAATGTCACACTGGCTTCTGACGTTTCCCGTTACGACGTTCAATGTTTGTGACCATGGTGACGTCAAAGCTAAACGTATTTTTGAAACATTTGACCCCCTGTCCGTGTTATGTTGTTTTGTATATGCAAAATAGAATAGAATGTAAATATTTTTGCCAAATTACAGTATTTATGTTTTGTTATGGGAAACCCATAATACGAGGGTCTATCCAAAATTTCTTGGATTTTCTTTCAAAAATTTTATCGTGACTATCGAGAAAAGCAAGCATTAGATCAAGACATATTTATTTGATAGAGCCGATATGCAACATGACTGGAGATTTTCACTACTTTCTAATTACCCTAATGGTCATAAGGGATTTCTGGACAATTGTATAATCCGGGGGAGATTTCGAAGTAACGTCAACTTAGGTATGTGACATCACGTTAAAGGAGCATTTCGTCCTCACATTCTGCAGATAACTGCTCTTTCATTTCATTTCTATTCTGAGGAATAACATAGGTCTTCGCTAGCACCTCCTAATTTTCATATTATAATGATTTTTCAAAATGCTCACCGTCTTTCCATGGAATGTTTCGTTTACTTAAGGAATGAATTTAATAGCTACCCATTTTATATGGTATAAACTGGGTTGGGGCAGTGAACTCTTTATAAACCGCAAAAACTGTTCCAACCCAGTTTATATCGTATAAAATGGGTAGCTATTACTTTCATTGCTTATAATCTAATTTTCATTCATTTTTGTTAGAAAAAAAGATGATTGTTCGAACAAAAATGACTTCAATTTGTACAAAATTTGAATGTATCGTCAGGGGAATAATACATTTTTGACGGAGGTCATTGTGACGTAGGCAAACCAGTTTATAAGATATAAAGTATTTTTTAATCAAATCAAATACAGCTTCGCAACCAGAATTAAATTATAGAAAAATGTTAAACAAAGTACAGGTACACTGGTGGTTCTCGTCCATTAACAGTTAATTTGACCTTCCAAAAGACGGTGACACTTTTAATTAACCTTCATGGAGGTTCTTTTTTAACTTAAATTCTCGCGCCAATGGAAGGCCGATTGCTTACATCATTTTTTCAGTCGGTATCAGTATTATACTGTTTCGTTTAAATCAGTGTTGTAGTAACGGGTATTCCCGAGATTTTAGAAAAACTTTTAACTTGATCGAATTTTCACAGTGTCTTACAATGTCACCATTAACAACAAATCAAGAAATCATCCATTAAAAGCTAATTATAACCAGTAAAACTCATTTAGTCCTACAGAGTTTTATGTGAGGTCCAAATTTTTATTTTGTATACCACTTAATGCGTTTTCTTCACTTTTACAATTAAGGGTACGTAACATAAACTAAAAATAGATGAAAACTTGATATACGTTATATGTAAAAATTTATAACCTTCTGAATCAATCCTTGTATGTATACGATCTATAAATTGGATATGTACAACGGCACTATGTTTCAAGCTTCTGTGAAATTTCATTACATTTCATTTAGTGTTATAAAAGTTGTTATGAATTAGAGATGGGTTCCCCAAATCTTAACAGTCGGACGTACAGAAAGACGGGCATTATGATGATATTCAACGGATATTATTTAAAATATGATCAAATCCATTATTTTCATCTTTAGACCAATTAAAGATCCAGTCATTCTTGTTCTAAAATCGATCTTCCAGAGATAGTAAAATACGTAACAATCAGCCAATCAGTGGTACGCAATGCATTGAGGCTTTTATATTTATACCCGCTAGATGGAAGATTGGTTTGCAATTTCTTCACAGAAACCGTACAACTGGTGTAATACACAAAGAACAACATGAGCAATCTCTGGGCTGTTTTTTTAATTGCTGCCTACTTTACGGTGCCTCTCGTCGCCATGTTTTCTAGGAGATTCGTCAGAAACATGGACTTTGATGATAAAAAGTCCGAAGGCGAACTTCTAGGGGAGTATTCTATGTCCTTTAAAGACTGTGCCGAGAAGTGTCGGGGGGATTGTAGGGTGTTTGGGTATAATGAAGGATTGAAGAAATGTCGGCTCCACAGGAAACTCCACAAGTCGTCAACATCAGATGAGGAGGGCTGGAGATACTTTTTTCATGATTGTATGTATTACCTTTTATAGAAAACGGATACGTTATTGTAGGTATTTCTTTTTATATATATTGTTTTGGAAAATGAAAAATATGGGGAAAACAATTCATACTCACTCCATTCAAACAATACAGCTCAAAAGCAGATCAAATAATAACCTCTAAATCAAAAGTGGGATCAGGTGCAATAGAAGAGTGAGCAATCCTGGCGATCGCACACTTTTACATCAACGAAATAACGGAGGGACCTTTTAAAATTGTAAATAATGGCTTTTGTAAATCCCTGAAAATGCAAGAAAGGGTCCATTGGTTATAACTGTATAGATGGAACAGTTTTTTTTTTTTTTTACAGAAAATATTTCCTGATCAAATTAAAAAAAATCAATCTACTGTAATATTCTTTCATGTCTCAGATTAAAGCATTACCCCTATTAATTCAAATTTGAATTCTTATTACTCTGCTTGAAAATGATATTTGTTTTTTGGGGTTAAATTTATTTTGTTTTATATATAGATTTGCTTTTTGCTGACATGAGTATTGGATAATATTATTTTGAACTATGAGCTATTGATAAAATATATGTTAAATCATAGCGTAATTATGAGCAAATCCTCAGAGGGAGACTTTGATGTGAAAGAAAATTGTAAATTTCAAGATTTCTCCCAGTGCACATGCGATTTTCTTCAAATCTTTTAAACAAATATTTTTGTTTAATAATTTAAACTAGGCAATTCATAAACGGTGATTTTGTTTATGTTTCTCGGTAAAAATTTAAAATTTTCTCATTTTCTCGTAAAATTATCATTTATTGGAATTATTAACGTTGAAGAAACACTATAGTACACGTATTACTTTGTAAATGTTAATCCAGTTTTTGTTTGGTTATTTTCTTTTTCTCATTTGGATCAATTCCAGAACTAGAGGATAAAATCTTAAAATTGACAAAGTGTTTTCAATTTATAAGGGAGCGGAATATCCAAAACAGTGATTAAACCTTGCAAAGCTTGTGTATGCTTATAATTGTAACCCTCTTTTGCTTCTGTGAATTCAATGATAGTGTCAGAAAAAAACATTGACTGACATTTAATGCTCATGTCAGGAAAAAAACACTGACGACCATTCAATAGGTTGTTAGACAGTATATATGGTAAAGTTTAAGTAATCATGGACAGTTAAAGAATCTTAAAACAGTTAATTATTATTTTACCACCGCTTGAAAAGCGGAGGGTATGATCGGGATGTCCCTCCGTCGGTCTAGCTGTCCGTCCGTCTGTGTCAATTCTATCTCGAATATCCATTTTTTATCATCAACTACTTTTATATCACTGAATGAAATTTAATGAAACTTTTACAGAATCTTTGTTTTATAGTGACATTGTGCACATCTCTATTTACTTTTTGATCGGACATATATTTCGGGTTTACTATAGAAAACATTGGCACTGCCATTCTCGATATTGAAGGATACTCCTCTCTTATCAAAAACTCCTCCTATACCACAGGATAAATATAATGATGTCATCACAGATTCTTTATTACAAAATGCCATTTTGCAATACCTATTTTACTTCCTGAATTTGACACTTTGTCGTGTCTCCAAGAGCAAAACATTGACTTCACCATTAAAATCAAATGGGGGGGGGATATCATTTAGTGATCTCGATGCTCACAGTACCTTTAGTTGTAGTACTCCTCAGCAAAACATTTCAAATATTACACTTTTTTTTTTTTTTAGAAAATATTGTTTAAGATTGAACAATATTTTTGTTTTCATTTTTTTAAAGGATGCTTTCTTGATGGAGAATTTTTTTTCTTCAAATAATAAATATACCGTAGTCATTTAAATATTACCCATAAAAATTGATTGTATTTGTTGATGAAAATATTTGAATTAAAATAGATAAGACAAATCAATACAACATAATAACGCATTCATTTTGAATTTAAAAAATGTTTGCACTTGCACTATCATGAGTAAATATTTCATCATATTTATTTTATCAGTTACAATCAATTAATTTCCGACTAAGATTGGAAAAACATATTTTTTTTTTGTCATTGGTATCTTGTTATTTCTGAACGGATGTTTGTGAGCCTCTTTCTTGTAATATACCAGGGTAATATAATTTCTTTGATTTTTTTTTGGTTTTAGTTCTCCCTAGAGATTGTAAAGAACTCCTTGATAACGACTACACATATACAGGGGTGTACGTCTACCCTTAGAATTCCAGTCAAGGTGTTTTGTGACATGTCTACAATGGGAGGGGGATGGACGGTGTGTTGTTTATTTTTATTCTATTATGATAAGTTCTGTGACATGACGACAATGGGAGGGGGATGGACGGTGTGTTGTTTATTTTTATTCTATTATAATAAGTTCTGTGACATGACTACACTGTTATTAGGAGGAATTTAGAATTTTTCAATGCACATTTTTAAAGCAGTATATTGTTTATTTATACAGCTTTATAAATGGTGTATACAGTACACTGTAATATGATTAAGTTTTGTGTGTTTAATGTGGACTGTGCATATTTACGCAGTTCTCAAATTTACAAATAATTTTTGAAATTTGCTTAATAATCTGGGTTATGGGACGTTTGAAGTCATTAATTAACAAGTCTGTATTTGATTGGATATATTTTAGAGAGAGAAATTTGATATTAATTATATATTACAATTAAATTTGATATTTGAGATTATACTTTTGTTAATTTGGTAACATGAATAAAATTTGAGAAATTTAATTGAATTTATATTTGATCATACTTACTAGGAATATATTAATTTATTTAGCTTTTTACCACACACATCACACATGGTGATAGCATTTGTGACATGCATAATTGCACTGGGTTTCTATCTGTCAAATAAAACTTTCTAACGGATCTGAAAGACTTCTTATTTGGCAAAATATATTGTATTTCAATTTTGTGTTTAAAGTGGAATTAAAAACGGATGGGCCGGGTGATTGTTATTTTATACAGTCTGTAAACAAAAGAATTTAATTATACACATGTCACTATAAATAAATAAATTACTTACTTACTTACTTATTACACGGGTTTTTAGACAACATTGTTTAAGATTTAACAATATTTTTTGTTTCAATTTTATTTAAAGGATGCTTTCTTGAAGAATTTTTACTTTAAAAATAAATATCCCACTGTCAGGGTTACATATTACCCATAAAAACACGTAATGTTGATGAAAATTTTTGAATTAAAATAGATAAGACAAATCGATACAACATAATAACAAATTCATTTTGAATAAGGAAAAAATGTTTGCACTTGCACTATCATGAGTAAATGTTTCCTCAAATGTTATTTTTTTTGTTTATTCACAATCAGTTACAATTAATTAATTAGTAAGACGGAAAAACATTAATTTTTTTGTCTTTGGTATCTTTTTATTTCTGAACGGATTTTTGTGAGCCTATCACATGTAGTATACCAATGTAAAAGATTTTTGATTTTTTCTATTTTCAGTTCGAAATAGAGATTGTAAGGATCTTCACGATAACGACTACACATATACAGGTGTGTACAGAAAATTCCCCTTGGAGTAAAGCTCTATTCCTGTCAAGGTGTTTTGTGACATGACAACAATAGGAGGGGGATGGACGGTGTGTTGTTTGTTTATACAGCTTTATAAATGGTGTATACACTACACTCTAATTTGATTAAAATTTGATATTCCAGAGGCGATGGGTATTTCGTATCAACCAGTACCTTGTTTGAAATTTGACTTATTAATCTGGGGTAACAATAGTTTCAATTACAATAAATTAGACTGAATTTCTTATTCAGAGAGAGAGAGAGAGAGAAAGAGAGAGAGAAAGAGAAAGAGAAAGAAGGAGCATATCTTTATAGTATACTCTGAAATTTGATTGAGATATAGTTTGTTAATTTGGCAATTAAAGTAAAATATGCAAATTTAATTAAATTTATATTTGATATTCTTCAATTTTAGCGTTCATGATAATTTAATTAATTTCTTACTAAGGGGATAGGAAAGAGATCAGAAGCCTTTTCCCCTTTAAAGCTCTAATGAAAATATGTCTTAATTTTCAAAATAATTCAACTGTTATTTATCTTTTCAAGGCAATTCAAAAACGGATGGATGGATACGTGAACTTTGATAGGAACTGGATAGATTATAAAAATGGATTTGGTTCATCGGAAGCGGAAGTCTGGATTGGTAAAAGTGATCTTTGATAAATAAGAACAAACAGTAAAAAAATAGTTTAAAAATAGTTGCTAATGAAGGGTAAGGATTTAAAACTAGATGACACGTACATGTACTGTAAAACGAGAAAAATTGGCGCATACATATTTTAGCGCAAAGGTAAATGGGAATGCATTGGCGTAAATAAGTTTAAGCGCTTGCACTTGTCAGTAAAATATTTATATGTGACATTTTTTTTTAATTCGCACCCGTATTTGACTTTTTGGATAGTCAAGCACGGAAACACATTAGTTGTCACGTATATCAGTAAACATTCGTTACCTTTACCGTGGTACGTGTCGATATCACATGGACATGATACAATGTTAAAATTTATTTTATTTCTATTCTCAATTAAAAGAAATGGAGTATTTACTGACTTAAATAACATTTAAACAATGCATGCATCGACAGAAAATTACTTAGATAAAACGGTAATCCTAATCAGGTATTGTCTGCAAGTTCAATCGCCATGCGCCACGCAATGTTTACCTCGAGGCGATACATGATTGACACACCGAGAAGCCAAACTTTGAAGGTGCTAATGATAATAATCGGGTAACAACTACCGGGGTAATAATAGTTTAATGAAATTATAATTTGGCAGAACTTTCTATCTTCCGGACATGTGCATTGCTAGTGTGTATATAAAATCCAATCACCCTTCGACATTACGTAATCGCGCGTTCCGGTTTACATGTACTTCTGTAAAAACTTTAAACACACACAAAAATGATATTTAGAAATCCTTTAGCGCACAATAAATTTTGGCGCTCAAGGGCTCTTGCGCAAAAGGCGCTAAAATTAGTGATGCGCTTATTATTCTTGTTTTACAGTTTTGAAATGTACCGGTGATTTCTTTTGACTGTGTATTGGTGATTTCCTAGATAAAATTTTGTAGTTCACCAATTTTTGAAACAACTAAGACACAAATTTGATATATTAAAGAGGGATATATAAATAGTGACTTAATACACTTTTATTTACTTATTTTTTCTTTAAAAAAAACCGCAAGAAATTTTCTTAAGCTGATTTAGTTCATGTTTATAATGATTATAAGAACATTTAGACTAAGAAAATCATGCTTAAGAGAAAAGCAAGAAGGTTTTTAATTGACTATATTCTGTTTTAAATATTGAAAATGAATGTTGTATTTGATATATTTCTTTTCAAATAATTTACTCAATATTTTTTTTTTATTTTACTAACGTAATTCTTCTGTTGGTGTGTTTGCAAAATTAGGATAATTGATTGATTTCTATATATCTTAATACAGGACATGACGTAATCCATCAATTAACGAAAGAAAACACCTCATCCTTGTATGTAACCATTACTCTACAGAATGGTACAACGCTGTATGAAATGTACGAAGGATTTTCTGTCTCCAACGAAGCAGGAAAATATCAACTGTTTCTTGCAGGACCTGCCACGGGGACTTTAGGTAAGGGTATTCAATTTAACTTCTTAAAACTCGACAGAAATTACGTATTTAAGAAATAAGATATCATTTTAAACATCTATCGGGATATAAACACTGGTTGGACACGAGATAAAATTCCATAAAGCCCGAAGGACTTTATGATGAATTAAACTCGTACCAACCCATATTTATAGCCCGATAGATGTTTTAAAATTATATCTTATTACTTATATTTACATTTGTGAATTATTCATACTTTAAATTTGCCTGATTGTGACTTTTAACGTGTGGAATGCATTATTTTTCATACCCAAAGATAATACTTTCCTTGTTTTATAAAAGAAGTCGTAATTAAAACAACAATTGATTAATATCAGATAAAGAATAAGGCCTTTCCAGGAATAATGATGGCTGAATTGTGTAAACAGTATATACATGTAGACAAGCATGTCCGCAGGAAATCATAGACAGCGAATCTTAATGAAAGTTTAATATTATAGAGTTGTTGAACTTATATAGGTGAACACTGGCACGAGTTGGCTGTTCAAATGCACGAGCTTGCTAATATTCATTAATATAAGTTCAATAATTCCTTTATCATATAGCTAAAACATTTCAACTTCAGTTTCAGTTTTAATAATGTATTTAACATTATTGTCGTAACTTTTATTAGTAAACAAAATATATAAATTTCCTGCTGTATTGCAAATGACGCAAGATATAGCGTGGATAATTTAAAATAGATACTTTCTCTCCTTATAGCATGCAAAGCCACCTGTCTTAATGTACCTCAGTATTATTATCGACTAGATTGAATATATATATGAATCCATAACCTCTATGATATATTTCTTGTACATATATAGGAGACAGTATGATAGACACAGGTTATCCTTACCATGATCTGTCTGGGATGTACTTCAGTACTCCAGACAGGGATAACGACAGATCTAGAGATAATAACTGTGCTGCTGCTAGTAGCCGTAGAGGGGGCTGGTGGTTTAATTCCTGTCACCGCGCCTTCCTTAACGGTGTGTGGTCCTCAGAGTCCTGGCACTGGCCATGGGATCCCACAGTAAGGAGTGGGACATCAGTGAAGGGAACCACCATGATGGTCAGACGTCACTAGGTAAACATCATTAAATCTAAATAACCCAGATTGTTTTTCTTTTTGTATTTCCGTAAAAATTTCTAATTGTTATCAAAGGGTTTTGTTTTCCTTTTTTTAAGAAAAATATACTTTTATTTCTATGAAGCATTAGTTTGATTATTATTTTTTTCCCCCATTTTTTTTACAGATGACCGACCACCCATCAATCAGAAAAATCGTTTATGATAAAGCAGATGGTTTTGAATTAATCTTCATCAGGAGGTCCTTTTTTTAAAAATAGTGTTCGACATGAAGTGAGAACACTTGCAACCAAAACATGGTTTCAATAAAGGCGGTGTACTATTTGTAAAACCAATATATTATTGTATTTTTTACTATCAAATGTATCTAGTAAAAGATGTATATTACATGTATATGTGTTTTATTTCGTTTTATTTTCAAACAATGATGAATGATGGACGGATAATTAGGATATAGACTTCTTCATTGTTTAACCTATTACAGTTGAACCTGTGTAGTCGGACACACGGTCAATACACTTCACTACAATTTCCGCCACGCAGTACAGTTAAGGTGCGCAATGGAAATATCGACTAAATTTTTTATTTAAAAATGTATTCGTAATCGGGATGGCGATTATTTTTATTACATTACTTATATCGTATAATTGTAATTATGATTAATAACTACATATTATTTATATTTTATATTCAGACTAGTCACGTGATGCGGCAGTCACGCGATTTTAGCACATTGACTTGAAGTATTGCTGTTACATATAAATATCACTAGTGCAAGGGCATAGCCAAGTTAAAATTCAAAATTTATCATATAAATATTAATTCAACACGCATTGTAGTTTCTGAAAAGTGCTGCGATCCTATCTAAACTCTGCAATTTCATTGTTAAAATTATATTTGAATGACTGAATGCTGTATTTTTGGCTGGTCAGCGGCGTGAAATATCGATATAATTAAATTATTTTCAAAATTTCATCAGGATCGCAGCTTTTTTCAGATGCCTTAATACTTCTAGAGTTGAAATGTTAAAGCTTACTAGGATCAGTTGAGTGTATGCCCTTGCACTAGATCGATTTATTATGACCCCCACATTACCCTCTGATGTACTTGCATACAAATATACGGCAGTATCAATTAAATACGTAATATATAGAAAATATGTTAATAAAATCGTGAAGAAGACATTGAATCCAGGTTAATCGCCAATAGAATATCTGTAAATAATATTTTATTTAATTATAGAATACATTTTTCGTTGAGAAAATATAACTTGATCTACCTCTCACTGCATACAAATTACATCATGATTTACGAAATCACGTCACATTGAGAAGTGGATTACGATCAGCGACTTGTTTATAACTTGAAATGTGTGGATTTAACTAACGACAAATCAACACGCTATAGTAAGTTTGACGATCAGTGACTTGTGTATAACTTGTTATGTGGGATTTAACTAATGAGAAAATGGCATGCTTTAGTAAGTTTTGATGTAATTTGATAGTTTCCTACAGGTTAGATTAGCAAATCACTTTATTTTGTGGTATTTTTGAGAGTGTTGTATTACGCATATTTTGTATGACGTCATAGTTAAGTTTTCCCGTACAAATTAGGCTCTGCCCCCTTTTTGTAACCTTAACTGTGCTGTGAATATAAAATTTTAATATTTATTGTAAGATCTAAGACTTGTAGAAATAAAACCACATGCTCACTTTTGATAGGTCTCACTTTCCCACTATTAATTCCATTGGAAAAATAACGATCAAAAGTGAGCACTTTATGCCCTTGGAGCCAGAATATAATACAACACTTTTTAAAGTTCAATTATTTAAAAAACACCGTTGAATACTTCTGTGAAGTGGCTTAATTTTCCATTTAAAATTATACCTCTTTGTGATAATGGTTGCTTTTAACTGCTTTCTTTTTTTTTACACAGAAAAGTTGCAACAATTCTAGTACAGCGAGGTATCTTAAAAACTGGAGCAATAGTTGTTGCAGGAGAGGCGTATGGAAAGGTTCGTAATCCTAAATCAATATTGAATATTTTAATATGAGATAGTATTTCTAGGCAGTGAAAAAAATGTTGAAAGTTATAAAAGGGTGTTTTTTTCTTTGAAGGAAAAGTTTTGCCATTGTTGAAAACATTTATCGTAATACATGTAAATGTATATAATCATGTATGTATTTTACACATGTTATGCAGTAAATGTCCTTATTTTGGTTCCAAACATACATGTACTTTAATATTTGTAAGAGTGCAACGATAAACTGTTTCACGGTATACCGCGGTTTATTTTTCCACGGTTCAATTCACAATACATGAAACTGATATCACTGTTCGGTTCAATCGGCAGTAATTATCCGAATCGATGTTCAGTGAAAACAAATTTCAAAATGGCTTCCGCATGAAACATGAGGTCAAGAACATAGAAACAACAATTTAAGCTTGTTTCCAGCCTCATATTTAACGGGTCGAAGGATGTCATAACTTTCCTAGGGTTAGTTTAATGGGCATTTGATAAAACTTTTAAGTTTGGTATATGATGAAAATGTTTAAGTTTTAAAACAAATTGTCATGTATCGTGATACATAAAAAGACTTGAAATATTCAAAAATATACACCGAGTACGATTTGACCTCTTGTAGAGAAGGAAAAAACGATACTTGTGATTTTCAGGCAAAAAAATCCGGTTAACCAGGCAGTTTTTTTCAAGCAATCTCTTCCTTTCATGAGTTGTTCAGTAGAAAGTATATCTCTTACTTTAAGGACATTGGCAAGTCAAGTAATCCCGGAGAAAAAAGGTTTATATCATAGGTTTATTCACCTATAAAACTGTGCTGCGCAATCAATTTCATTTCTCATTTTGAAATGAAAACCAACAAAACGTCTTTACAGAAAACAAAAGCACATGTGCTTCCTTCTGACACATACAATTGCAATCTGCTCCCAGTGCATAGAGAGAAAAACGGTGATTGTTATATTAAACATTGTGTTCAAGGATATATAAAACAAATAGTTATTTACCTGATTATGCTGGGAAGGACAATCACAAGATATGACAAATGCCGAGAACCTGTAACTGAATGAGGTCGTGCGAAGGAGGCATCATTTACATGTAGTAACTGTAAACAAATATAAAAACAAATATATGCCAATATTTTTATCAAAATTTGTTTCCAATATGGTAAATTACTTAATATAAATAGTCAATCAGTCATTACCATTATGAATACGAATTAGATGCTAAGGGAAGTAACTCTGAAATAATGAACAGTGTTGGTAGATCTGTGTCATGTTTCTAAATTTGCGTTTTCAGTCATGATATCTAGATTTCATTGGAACTGAGGATACAATAATATACATAATATATACACTTTCTGAAATGACTGAATTTTGGAAATTTTTTATGGTAAAAAATTAAGTAGGTCTTTTTTATCAACATTTTACATAGGAAATGCATTAAGAATTTGCAAAAACATTCATTTGACAAAATCCAATAAGGAAGGATGGCTTGGTGGGTTAAATGTACCAGAATATAACATGTAATTTACCACTACACCTGTTCAAGAGTTTGAAAAAATCTATACAAAAGCCAGGAATGGCTTACCGTGTCCTTAAATTAAATATGTGTGTACTTATTTGCTATTCTGAACAGTTGTTAAAAGTTAATCCACCGTTGTTGTTAGCAAATGAAATTTGCTGATATATTATATAAGAAGATTATTTTCTATTTTTTTCATGAATCATTTTGGACAAAGTGAAGTCACGTGATTTTTCTCAATAATTTGTGTTTCAGTTCATTGTCTTCACAGAGCGCAGCACTGTTAAGGCCTGCTATGAGAAATCAACGTAAAATAGACGTGCAAAAAAGGGGGACCTTTTTAAAACTGAATTTATTTTAATTAAGCTGTTTTATTATGACAGAACTTTAATACTAATGGAAATAGCATAGTATAACCCACTCTGTACTGTATGAAGTTTGGTCCCATCGATGGACAGTCACGTGATGAATGCATAGTTCGTGTACTGAATGTAGGTCATGAACAAATTTCAATATCGCAAGGGCATACCCTAGTTGAAATTAAAAATTCAAGCTATTAATTGTTTCTACATACTTTGTTGTTTCTGGAAAGAGCTGCTGCTTTGAATAAAATTTGCATTTTAATATAGTTAAATTTTCAGGTAAATAAGCCAATGTCAAAATATGTTTGACTTTTACCAAATATTTTGTGTATTTATAAAATCACGCCCTCGATTTAAAGAAAGCAGCAGCACTTTTCAAGTTAAGAAAAATATCCTTTATCTATATTCAAAAAATGGTTAAGATCTACGAAGTGTATGCTCTTGCGAAAGTGCGATTTTATGAGGCATCTCGATGTAAAATATACGTAACCCGTACATAAAAACACGATATAATTAATTAAACACATTCTCTTGATAATTAATTTATGATCGCACTAAACAGAGGATATGCATTGGTATAAATCGACTATTTAAAACCTGTAAATAATATTTCGTTTAGTAATAAAAGGCATATTCCATTGTTAAAAAATTCCTCAATCTGCCTCTCACAGCACATGGAATACGTCATTTTTACCAAAATGACGTCATGTTTACAAGTTCATGTCGATCAGTGCTTTGTCTATAACCAGGTACATGGGATTTAACTAGCAAGTTTTTTTTTTTAATGTATTGATAAGTTTTATTGTTGTTTATTATGCTAATAACGTTAAAAGTTGCAAACTATTTCATTTTCAGGTACAATGAGAAATACATCAAAGTCATATTTTTGTGTGAGGTTACAGTAAACTTTTCCTGTATAAATTAGGCCCCGCCCCCTTATTCAAGCCTTACGGAAGTTACGGAAAACGTGACGTCATAGTATGAGAAGCGTGTTTTTAACCATTGTGACGTAATGACAACCAAGTTTGTTTAGTTAGGACTGTGTTAGTGCATTTACTTTGAATGGTTATATAACATCACTATTATGGACTTCAGTGAACGGTCGATATGTGGTTATAAGGACTCATGGCAATTGATATTGACCTCAGACAAAGAAGATGATAGCAACCTCGCAGGCTCGGTCGCTATCACTTTCTGTGTCTTTGGTCAATATCAATTGCCATGAGTCCTTATAACCACATATTGACCTACACTGAAGTCCATAATTGTATAATATTCTGTAAACTGCTTTGTAAAATTTTAAATTTCTTATATCACTTTCATATTTTGAAAAGTACAGGGCTTAATTTGTATTCAAATTGTACTTTGTTATTTACAACATGAC